CTTGGGAGCCTTTGGGGCCCTTCAAGGGCTAGTTGTTGCTCGGCTAGCTTTGATCGACTATTAATCGGTAGGTGAGCGGAGTTTAATGACCACCCCCAGGCCTTGATGGGTAGGGGCGTTCTTCTCCACTTTAGGCTTAGGCCATGGGCAGCCGAGTCAAGTTAGTCGGCAATACACTACCAAGCTATGCGTTGTAGGCTCGAGCCATTCATAGATCAACCGAGTCAGTGAATTGTACCGAGCTACACGTGTGTTGTGCAGTCGTGTAGCTTGGTCAAGTAGCATGGTCGTGTAGGTCGGTCGCATAGCGTAGTCGTGTAGCGCAGTGGTGTAGTGTGACTGTGTAGTGCGTCTGTTTAGCACGGTGGTGTAGTGCGGCTGTGTAGTGCAACGATGTAGCGCGGCTCACGCGGTGCGTGTGTGTGTGGTGTGCCCTACTGCGGTTGTCGGGCTCGCAAGAGTGGGCGATGGAGGCGAACCTTCTTGCTATGTCTTGCTTCTCACACTCTTATCGTGCTCCCCTCCTTTCCAGCCAACGCATTTTGCGGTCCTCGGGATGAGGATCGTCCTTCGTACGTGTCGGGGCATGAGGGGGGATGGCCCGGTTGGGTAGTGCCACAAATCCTAGTGTTTGCATCATCTCGAAGATCTTATCGACCTTCTCTTGCATTGCTCAGAATTGCACAAGATCAACCGCGATTGGAGGCTATGGAATTTCTTGATGTGGAGGGCTGCGATGCCAAGATTCCCAAGATGGGGATCGTTCGGACTGGTTCTTGGGCATCTTGATCGCTTTCTTGATTGCGCGGTGAGAAAGGAAGGATTTTCAGGAAAGGCTTTTTGTGTGTTTCCCACAGACGGCGTCAATCTAATGCTGCTCAATCCAAGGTGGTGCACGAACTAAAGAGAGCAACTAGATAGTCCTTGCCAACAGGGCAGTGCCGAGCTACAAGGACTAGGCCATACTGCAAGACCTGTGATCAAGAAAGGAGAAGTCAGAGGCTTGAGGAGTTATCCCTGGGTTGGCCAATCTGATGCTGCTCAATCCGAGGTGGTGCACGAACTGAGGAGAGCAACCAGATAGTCCTTACTGGTAGGGCGGGACCGAGCTACAAGGACGAGTTCGCACTTCAAGACCTGCAATCAAGAAAGGAGAAGCCAGAGGCTCGAGGAGTTATCCTCGGGTAGATACTCCGACGCTCAAGTCAGTAGGAGGTGATGGATTGTCAGGCCAAGCTACAGGCATGCTAGTCCGAGTAGAATAGTAGTATGGGTGTCAAAAGTTGGATCCCTTACCTTGAGTATGGAATACCTTCTTATAACTGCGGACCCGTGTCCTAGTCGGATTGGGCTCCCGGGGTTGTTGGGATGAGGTAAGCCGCCAAGATATTCGGGATTGAGTCCTAATCCCTTGCGGAGTTTTCTTCCTTACTCCTCTTTATTCGTAGTTACGCTTATCTGTGCCACGGGTAGCTGATGTGGCTGAGAGGATAAGATGGGGGGCCATAGTAATAGCATAGCCCGGCCTAAGTCGGGAAGGAGTGTGTGTTGCGGAGTGGCCGAGCTATGCCGACGTGGCTGGGCTAACCGGGCGATGACTGGGCGGCCACGTGTCTCTCTAGACCAGCTCAATCATGACTCGAACATTATTAAAAAGGTATTTTTGTTCCGTTCAAGTATTGACAACTTTCCTCCCAAGTTTTCTATCTGACCAGCCTTGTCAGTTTGTGGGTTAGATGGGCTAGGTCTTTTAAACTATTTTAAGACCCTGGTCGATGATTATTATTTTAATTTCAGTATTTCAAATGAAAATTTCAATAGAATTTAATTATTACATATTTTTAGTGTTATGCTTGTGATATTAGAAGAGTTTGGGTTGAATTAAAAAAAAATAACACAGGGATTGGGTTCAGTTGGGGAGTGCAATTACAAAATAATATGACAATATAAAATTTCTTTTTGTTCTTGAGCTATATATTACATGGAGCGTGCTATCTTGACCATTCACTTTGAGTATAAGGTGTTATCTTATGAACCTAGGTTCTATATTACTTGATATATTATTTTTCTTTCTTAACATGGGCTGCTCGACTGTTTCTACACCTCCATGATTACGATTTGGTTCCTTTTCGGTTAATGGTGGTTTAATGGAGGATTGAGGGAGGATCAGGTCTTTGACATTTTTTGTCGATTAGACCTTGAAGAATATCCTGCATTTCTTCCTTTTTTTTCTTTTTATTGTTTTATTTATTATATCTCCCCATTTTTTTTTTTTGTGGTAATCCAGTCCGGTCCAGTCAATCAAGAAAACAACGCCACACGTAATTGTTGCCCCGGAGAATTTGCCTTCTTCCAAGGCTTTAGATAAATACTTTCAAATTTCATTGGCCCAATTCCCAAGCCTTCGTTCTTTATTAAATTTATTGTTTAAAACTAATTTAACTATGACTCATATTTTGACAACACTCTTGAAGGGATGAAAGGGACATTTTTTCTTTTCAGTCTACATCTTTAGAAGAAGGGTTTCATGGCTGCGTTTTATCAAATTTCTATTATTATATTATATTATATGACTGGAATATTATGCGTCAATGTTTGATACTTTGATTCTACTAAAAATATTCTAATATTAAATGATAACATTGTAACAAGTATTTTTATATAAAATTAAATAAGAAGCCATGGCCACGAGAATTTGAAAAAGAAAAGGTTTAGTTGATGATGAAGAAGAATTGAATTAATGGTGATGATTGTTTATGTAAAATTAATGATCATATGTTAATCACCATTTTTCTTTTACGAGAGGAAGGGGGTGGAGTTAGGGCAGGGTGCACATGAAGCCTAGTGACTATACCATCTCAGCTACTGAATCATCACCATTGAAAGTTAGAAACATTTTTCAGGCCCAAAACATTTAAATGACAGAAAGAAAAACCCTCTTTCTGTCAAAATAGAAGCACCTTAAACATGTAAATGAATAGAAATATATCAAATCAAAGAAGTTTAGTGATAAAGAAAAGAAAACAGAATATCTGTTGAAGCTCTCCTCTTCTCTAAGCTGTGGTGATAACTTAATTGCTTTCTGCCCGCTAACACAATAATAATAATAAATATAAATTTCATGATATATGAAAAATTCTGTTTTAATGTATTTGTAGAATCCAATTACATTGCACTTTGAATATTTGTTACACCATAAATCGAAACTTCAACCAGTCACATTAAGATGTACATGGTCTACGTATTTTTTGAATCAACTTAGATGTACCATTTTATCATTGGTTCAACCATTTTAAACTTTTATAATATTTTAATAGGTAACCAGTTTTCTACTTTTCCATAGAGATGTCAACCATCAATTTACTTGTGCTTCTTCCACAAAGGGTGTAAATATAAAATATATATTCTAAAAAATATGAACTAAAAGTATAAAATCTTGTACTTTTAGGCCCTTAAAGTATTTTATATTTTTTAAAATATGTGCATCAACTATACATGCAGTATTTAAATTTCCCACCTGGTGACGATATATACGGATTCTACATAGCATTAGGGGTATATCAATGACATGTAAAGTTAATATGTATAAATGGCGCATAATATATGAAACATGTATATGTCACATGGCATTTGAAAGTATAGTATGAGGTAAAATATATGAACGTGACATTGACATGTGATTGTATATATCCAAATGCTATGTCGTATTTTTCTATTTAAAAAGTATTTTTGAAAAACATTCATAAACATATCACATGTAATTCGAAAGTATAAACCACTTAAAATCATCATCTACTTTTTACCCAAGAATGTTAACAATACTCCGGATCTGCTACACACAAAATCTTCCCACATCTATACCCTCTAACACCATCCCCATGTACCGGTAACATCTCCCTATAAATGTAAATGAAAAGGGAGATATATTCCTAATGTACAACCGTAATGTCTCATCAGTAGAGATGTAACAACAACTTGTGGGTACCAGATCCAAGCCTTGTTAACAAACATTATTATATGGCACTTGTGCAACTCATTGACCCACAGATAAGGGTGTCATTGAACCGGTTTTGAATTGGACCCTATCCAAACCAAAATCAATTTGGATGGATTGGATGAAACAACAAGACACAATACATACTGAATTGGACAAGTCCAGACCTAATGGCTCAAAGTATTTATTGGATTGGATTAGACCTGGTCCATCTATAATGAATTTATATTGGATTGGGTTGGATTGAACCAATATCTAGTCCATTAATAGGAGATAAGAATACAGGTGTAAATCGATCAGGTTTAGATTAAAATTAATCTAAATTAAAACAAATTTGAACAGATTGGATGGTCCAAACATTGAATTGGACCAATCCAAAATAGTCCAAAATATTCATTAGATTGGATTGGACCAAATCCAGTCCAATTGACGCCCTCTACCCACAGATTTGGTTGGACCCACGACATAATTAAGAGACAAATTTGGACATGCTTTTCCAACGGTGGTCCCACCCTGTAGACAAAGAATACAGCGAACGGCAGTTGCATAAACTATGGAAAAGGGTTTCTGAATCCCCTACTTTCAGACAAATAACAAATTGTTTGCTAGTCGTTTCTCTGAAACCCACCAAATTGTGAGCTTCAAAATCCACGGAATTGTGAAATCCACCCTTCTTTTTCTTTCCCCCATCTCCTTTCCAATGCAAACTCCACTACCATTCATGCCAAGGAAAAAAAACGTTGGACCATTAAAAGTAAAAACATAACAGACATTGATTAACTCATACCAACAAATCAACCACAAAAGTTAAATAATGTCATAATTCTTTATTTTCAAACCAAGGAGATTGTTACTGCAGAACAAAATCTCTCTCAGGACTGCTTGGACCAGTAAAAATAGATGAGATACACCAAAAATTGCTGTTGATAATATAAAAATTGGGAAGTTGGCAAACCGCAATTTGAAAATCTTTTAGTAGTAGGAATTTGATTTGCTGAGTGGCATCTAAACGATCAGCAGCTACGCAAAATGAATTTCACATCACTAGAACACAACGATTTGAAAGCACACCACAAACTATGACTTCATAATAATAGCACACTGACCATATGTTAAGCTGCCCAACTGCTTAACTTCACTTCAAGGTGCAGAGAGGACTGCACGCTATTTACAGACCAAGGCTAGCCTTATGAAATTCATGAATCTTTGTACCAGTGCCTTGGATGCTTTATTTGAAAGCTGAACAGAGTTTTAGCATTACAAGTTTGAGCAACGCACACAGGAGATTAACAAGTTTCAGGTTTCTCCCAAACAGATAACCATGTACTTTGACACTGCAAATGGATTCTAAGCAGGAACAGCATGAGGCACTTTGTCATTCTCAGAAGGAGACAAACTGTCGTAGTATTCGACCAAGACTTTCCATCCACCCGGGCACATGAAACCATCTGGTGGGTTTTCTCTGTTTTTTGCAAGTGTTCGCATCTGCAAAGTAAAAGCAATTATTATTTAGCAGGTATTACACATTAAAATGTATCATCCAAGCTTATTGGTCCCAGATCTAGGAATATGCATAGCATCTAATGTCACAGTTCCCCCAGTCACCAGATCTAGGAATATTCCTGAAGACCCCAGTTAACTGGAACGAACATTGGACATGACCCTTTTTTCCCCCAGTCACCCTTCTTCCCTCTTCTTTTTGTCAGAGCATTCCCCACAACTGTATGAAAGATACAGATATGGATGGTCAGGAATCATCTGATTGGTCTGACCTTGGATTCTTTCGTTAGATCAGTAAGCAGAAAAGATTCATTATTATAGATAAAGTAGGATTATGCTGGCATACTGTCATTTCCCCTATAAGAAAATGTATTGAGTTCTTCATTTGCGAGGTGTTTACCTTGGTGCCAGATATGAAAAGAAAATCTTGTGGCCTTGATGGATCAAAGAAAGCCATTTTCCTCTGAGTCTTGTCATAGGCAGCTACCTGCAATTGTATTTGAATAATGAATACTAGGGTCTTCTTGATTTGTAGTAAGTTCAGCTCTTCAGAAAATAACAAAATGTTAACAATTACTTTGATTTTTAGTGTACCTTGAATGGGAGGATATTCAGCCGCTCAAGTCCAGGAGCCGTACTCAGTACCTTCTTTCCATGATCAGCATCATAAAGGTCCCTCTTCTCAATGGGGTGGCCCATACCAGCTGGATCCCGACCCACAATGTAAAAATTGGCTCCTGCATTTATACGGGCCTTTGCATGCCACTGAACTTCAGTTGGGCCAGCATAATGCATGGGTGATGGGAAAATTGAAACCACTGTTGTTTCGGGATCTAGAACACCATCTTCCAGTACCTGAAGAAACAATTGCACTGTCAAAAAGAAATAATCTTGTCTACTGGGCAGACATTTTTCATATAGGACTTTGGCATCTCCAGATGCAGTATAGTAATATTAAATTGTCAGAAGGATAAGAATAAACACCTTCTCATGCTGCTTCATTCTCCAGCTGAGAGGTACATCATCTGCTTTCGTGTAGCCTCCCAATGGGTGAAGCAACAGAACAGGGTTCCTGTATCCCATTTCCAGAAGCCGCCGGCGGGTGTCAGTCATTAGTAGAGCATGGCCATTGTGTACAGGATTCCTGAGCTGGAATGCAAACACTGCATCAGCATCACGCTTCATAAATTCCTCACGGAGTTCTGCAGGAGATAGACGGAACCGATCAAGACCATCATTGTACTTGATTGGTTCTATAACCTCCAAGTCACCACCAAGAAGCCAGTTTCCAGCATTGGTTATTGCTTCATCAACATATGGTAATCCAGGGGCAGTGGTTCCCCAAGTTCTGGCTATCCGCTCTTCTTTGGGGTGCTTGTATATCTCAATACTGAAATCATCAAAAGGGAAGAGAAAGGAAAGATGAGCAATCGATGAAAAGGTCACTCAACAAATTAATATATTAATCAATCAAAGGTGCAACGTAGATATCCATAATAATGCCAGATTTTAAGCCCAGTAATAATTTTTCTATTCATCCATCAAATAGAAAACAATGTCAACCAGAACCAGAAAAAAAAATACTCCTTGTAGATACCAAAAGATGGACAAATACAACTGGCAAGTGACCTCAGTACAAATATGAATTTACTACAGGTCATTGGAACTGAATGATCTCAGCTGATGCAACAAATAGCATGTTTACAAATTACAACCAAGAAGAAACAGACAACAGAGAAGAAAATAAGATGACAGAAAGTTTTGGAAACAAGGATGGTTTATGGAGAACATTTACTCCTAGTAATTCATGATAATAACTGTAATAAGTGATCCAGGACAGTGAATCAATTTGAAGTGGTCAATTAAATACAATGCAATCAGCAAAGAACAACAATTCTTTACTTTTGAAGTTAATTTGGCAAAAGCGAAAAACTTACAAGATACCAAGACAGATACATATTAGCATGATAGAATGTCTTCAATAATCATAAATAGGGTAGTGCTAGCAAAGACCTGAAAACTTCATAGCCACCAAACAGGTTATCATAGAACTTCTGGCAAAACTTGAGAAGGGGATCAGATATATGGTGGAAACACCTCTGATAATTAAATGAACCAATTCTGATAAAAGATGAATGAAAAGATGAAAAGATTGGCATAATTTTTCAATTAACCATACAAATCAATCAAGAAGCATTGTCATCCTTTTGAATTAACTATGGTAATATTAGCTATTTAACTTGCCAAAGAGTATACATCAAACTACATAACAGATACAAGTTAATCCAATCCTATCTTAAATCCGAAGTGTATAATCATTGTCCAAAAAACTCAAAAGTGTACAGTCTACTATTAACTACTAATACAAAATACTTTGAAGATGATACTACTCTGTATTTGACATATTTAGAAAACTGAGGCAGTATAAAGCTACGACTTTACTTCGAACTTCTAACGACGTTACCTAACAACCAACATTCCACTAGAGTACAATTCAAGGAAAAGTATGCCTATGTCTGTATGTTACACCAATGCTCCCTCTGTAGAAATATTGATGCCAACATGTCAGATGCAAAAACTGGTCGTCCACATATATTTATTTATTTGGAAAAATATTAATTTATCTTTTTCTCCAGTTTTCAAGTATTAGTCAACTACTAACTTATCAAAATAACTATCTCCATACCCAGTTTTTCATGGTTGGCAAGTCCAACACGCAGACAGTCAACCGTCAATGTTGCGTGAGCAGGTCAATAGTAGGCTATTTCATATATATATATAATTAGACACCATGGAAATGTTTATGTAACTCATCCCAATAGTTTTGGGATTCTGCAGTGTTTCTCACCTAGCCTGGATGATTGAGACCACAAATTTAATCAGTCTTCCAAGAGAAAGCTGAACTGCTGAACCACCATAACAATTGTTTCGTTTATCCCTTAGTTTAAATTGTAGGCATGGTAAATCTAATTTAGTGATTAAATGTTCATACAAAAGAATATGTAAAAAGGTAAAATATAAATGTCTAAAAAATTAGGAAAGGGACTAAATTTGTCTCTACACCCGTTGCAAGGTGAACAGCTTGTTTGCCACCAATTAGGAACCCATCTTGACGATTAAATGACACTGATAAAAACTTTGGACCGAACACAAGGACTTCAATATGAACCAGGTCTGCAAATCCTACCAAGTGTTGGATCATGCTTCATTTCATATTAGTCACCCTCATTCTATTTGAGATCTTTATCAAGTTTCCATAATTTTACAATAAAAATAGAAGCAAAATTCTGGACACATTTGGTGTTGCAGTGAGAGTTTCCACGGATATTTTATCTGCTTATATAACCGAAATCCCAATTTTTTCCTCAACAAACCCAATTTAATGTAGCAAAATTAACACAAATTGCATTGAAGGTTTCTTACTAACTCAACCAGCGTTTCTCATTCAACATGTATGGCATGGATATATAAAGTAAGTCCGAATCAGCAATTCAACTAAAACCCAAAACAAATTAAACGCCCATCAACAATTCAACTAATACCCCAAATGCATTTACGGTTTAGACCCCTTAAAATGTCATAAATTGAATAAAAAAGCTTCGCAAAGTAATATCTCCAAGGAGAAGGACGAAATTTCCTTACTTGCTCAAGATTGCAACCGGGTTATTGCCCGAGTCAAAGAGAGCAACCTTGCTGGACTCACCGATCCGATGCTTCTGTGCGTCGTCGATGGCCAACACAATCGGCACCGACATGTTGACGACGGACCCGTCGCCCAGTCGGAGCAAATTGAAATGAAGAGTTTGGAGGAACTCGGATTCTCTCATGAACCCGCGAAGTGGACTTGCCCACCCCTCGCTGAGAACATGAACCCACTGAAGATCGATCCGAGACAGCTTAATTCTAGGGATGGACAGTGCTTCCTTCTTCTTCTCATTTCTCTGAGACTCCTTAACGAAGAGCTCAACGAGCTTACCCCCGTCCGGTTCGATCAAACCGCAGGAGATGCGAAACTGTTGGCGATTCTTCTTTTCCTTCCGGGAGGTAAAAGAAACTGAGAACTTTGGCTCGATATCTAACTGGGTTTTGCATATTTTGGGGAATGGATGAGATGGGCTTGGCGTTTTGACGAAGAGAGCCGCCATGGACGCCATTAAAGCCGGAAACCAAGCTTTTTTGGCACTCCTGGTTTTCTGAGAGATAGTTGGTGTATTATAAGGACGGACGCTAAGAGTAAGGGTATTTAGGTAATTTTGGTTATCGTGTCGAAGCCGATGGGCTTTGGGTGGATTTCAATTCATGGGGACTTTTGAGGGTAGAAAAGGAAATGTCGGGGGGATGAACCTGGACACTATTGAATTTGGTGTCATCGCTGATTCGCTGTGCTAACATTTTGAAAAGAGGGTTGGTGTTGATTAGGTTAGATTTAGAACGAGTCTGGGATTTCCTACGTTAACCAATCCTTTTGTGACAGGTCCTATAAACCATAACACGTGTCATGCAGAGACAGTATGACACGTGTCCTTGACTTTTCACGATATTGTTCACGTGCGTTAAATGAAAATTTAATTTGAATTCAAAGATGCAGCCAGAAAACCATATATATGTTTTCAGGTTTTTTTGGTGCGTATACATGTGGTGGCTGATTTGAGAGAAATTTGGTACCAATGTTGATCCCAACAATGAACGTGGCTGGTATAACGCTTAGGTTCATTTTAGCCAAAGAAGATTCCAATTTCCATCCCAGAACTCGGATCGCCTGCCAACCAACTCTTTTCACATCCCTACTGACACAGGGCAATATAGCTGCCCGTTGGGAATATCTCCCTTATTATTTCATAGAAGATGTTTCAAATGTAAGAATTTGTGTTATGGGTAGGACTATAGGAGTAGGAGAAGAGTTGTGGGTAGGAATCTGGAGTGGGGTCTTACAACACTGCCCAAAGCATCCAAATTCCAAAGCAATGTTCAATAGGGGTTCCCTCATTATATCATAAAATAATTAATTATTACTTTTTTAAATCTCTAAAGTCTAAACATAATTTTAGGGCCTGCGGATGTTAACAAATAGTTATTATGATGTCAATGAATCCGATTAGTTAGTGGTAAATTCACCTTGACCGCACCTCTATCTACGGTAGAACGAAGAAAGAAGATAGAAAAAGGAAAGGCCGATAACTCACCTCAATTTGATGTGCTGTATTTGGGCTTTGAACGTCAGGCACAAGGGCAATTTAAAGCTTTCATTTAATTTTATTCGGTGCTTCATTAGTTTTGATCTTGTTCTTTAATTATTTTTTCGGGAAAATTTCTGATACTTTAATGACAATTTGGTCCTTGAATTTTAAAATGTGATAATACAGTATTCAAACTTGTAGTTGAACTTTCTAAATGTGGCAATCCATTATTTGTCGTTAACCAGTCTGTTAATCCATTGACATTTGAAAAATCAAAAATGTCCTTAAAATGCCATCTAATTCTCTTTATCAACCATTCAAACATTGACAAAAAACTGAACAGTCCCAAATCCTAGCTTCTTCTATTCAAAAAAGTTGGTGACTATTTAGAAGAATCTAGAATTTGGGACTGTTCATTTTATTATCAATGTTTGGATGGTTGATAAAGGGAATTAGATGCCATTCTTAGGGTATTTTTGACTTTTCAAATGTCACTTAATAGTTGATTAACAACAGGCATTGGATTATCACATTTTGAAAGTTTGAATACTATATTATCATATTTTAAAAGTTTGAGTGTTGTATTATCACATTTTAAAAATTTGGATATTGAATTATCACATTTTAAAATTTAGAAACCAAAATACATGGTAGTGATCAGAAATTTTTCCATTTAATTTCCAAATTTTCAGCTGAAGATGATAATCATCACAAGTTATATCTCAATTTTTTATGAACGTTTTCTAAGGAAATTTTGCAAATGTTTTGCAATATGGACATTTTGAAAAATTTAGTACATATAATGTGCTATATTAATTCACATGCTAGTACTACCTACACCTACACCTCTCAGCAGGTCTAAAGTACTACCTACACCTACGCATGAAGATGCTTATTTTCCATACACATTTATTCGATATAAGAATTATTATTTACTAAGATGTCACTATAGATAGGAATTTTTGTGAGTGTGATGTGTGAATTGACTAATTAAGGTACAGAGCTGGATCATGTAAATGAAAAACAAAATGCAAATTTTTGTTTTATTTTATTTTGGGTTTTACTTTATTCTGTTTCATGTCTTAATTTATTTTATTTGTACTGCAATCAAATAAAATAAGTTAAAATTCCAAATAAAAATAGATCAGAATGAAAATTTATTTATGTTGCAACCAAATACAGCCTTAGAGATTGGATTCCGTCCTCATAAAACTTGTTCTTACGAGTTCAACTTCAGTCAGTGCAAGACCCATTTCAACACTTTTTACAGCCTTGCATTGGGAATATCTCCGTACTTATTTGTTTTATTTCATGAGGAGATATTTGCAATGTGAGATTGAGAGAGGCTGTTTGAATGGTGTGAGCACTGGTTTGCATCTTGCACTGACTGAAGTGCATTGGGTTACCACCTGAATTTTGTGAGAATGGTGAGGATAAATTTTGTGAGGAAGAAATCTGGATTCTAAACTTTAATAGTTGAATGACCTGTGTCCCTCTCAAATTGTCAAATAACAAACGTAACAAAAAATCAGTATTTTGATCCAAATAAACTCTTGATATGGAAAATCTGTGGATCTAGAGCATGATATTTTGAGCATTACTTTTAATTTGAATCATGAAACATGTCAAAAGTTACTAACTATATATCTTTTTCAATTAAAATTTATTTGGAGGATGGCCACATGTTTGAAAGAGAAGCCCTTACATCTAATAAGTGTTTTACTTAAATTTTTATTTGAATTAAGAAACTAAATTTAAAATTGGATTATTGCTTTATAATCATTCTAAACTTGATCCATTGTCTGAAGTTATTTTCACCATGTCACACTTTGTTAATGATGTCCTTAACCATTCACTGGCCTCACTTTATAATAATATTAATAATAATAAAATAATAATAATTAAAGTTCAAAATATTGATATATCCTGATAAGCCGATAGGGGCATATCGGACTATATCAAGGCTCACTCCCCTATGTATCGGAAAGCCCCCGATACAACACGTATTCACCGATATGACCTAATATGTATCAAAATTTTGAACCTTGAAAATGATGATGATGATCGTAGTTTTTTTATCAAAACCTATATAACAAAGATACATTTTCAAAGCATGGTTTTTTTAATGGATTTATTTCCCTTCACCCTAAAGACCTAGCTTCAAATCTTATAACTTGCACCTTATATCAATGTTTTCAATTTGTAATTGAACTAGATAAACAAATTTGATATATATTAAATTGTCACCCAGATAAATTTTTGAGTATATCCAAGTTTAAATAAATTTGTTGCAAAAAGAGAATTACCATTGCCTTGGTTAACAACCAAATAATCTTTTTGGTTCAACCGTTGACCTAATTCCTGTTTGGCAACGTTCTCACATGTTCTTATTCTTTTAGAAATTCTTAACATTAGTTCTGCAAATCCATCCCTACTAAACCTAAAATTAACCAAAAAAAAAAAAAGCATGTGTCACATGGCGGGAGAACACGACATTTAGAAGAATGCTGCGATCAGTGGAGGAGAGAGACGGATGTCAAGGATTGTCCTGCAATGGTGACAACAGGTTCTAGGTGGTTAGTAAGTACGACATCGAGACCCAAGGGCGATTCAAATTAAATGCCAAGTACTACAACCCGACTCTTGGGTCTTGGTCCAAGCTAGAGGAGGTGTGGCCCTTCCCCAAGGGCCATCGATGCTACTCCCAACGGATGATGGTGCTTCGTGGGTGGTAGTAATGGAGGAGAGCAAAGAGGGGTCATGGAATATGATGTGAATTAGAAATATTGGAAGGTAGTGACCTCCATTCCTGATAGCGGCTTGAAATCATCCCCATGCATAGCAACTCTTGGAGGTGGAGGAGGAAACTAAGATCGGATCTTTATGATGGGTTCCGACATTGATGGGTTGAACGACGACAACGGCTGTTGATGACTTGTTGTTGCTGACTTGCTGATGGTCGGCAGTTGATACCCAATGACTATTGAACATATGAAACCAATGATGGCCGACAGTCGAGACTCAACGGCTATTGCTGACCTGCTACTCGTTCTCAGGCATCGTCTCTGATTTAACTCCGGCGACCCCTTTTGCTGCCTCACCGGAGATGTGTTCCGATCGATCGTCATCCAATTCTTGATGCAGCAGGAGTTCATCTCTCTTCTGGGTTGTGTAGCAGCAGTGAGGTTGAATGAACGAGGACTGCTATATAGGGATTGAATTTATATTTTTGCGCAAAATGACAATAGCACCACTTCTCTCACGTGGGAACGTCCCACACATGTTTGTTATTAGACATAGACATTGTGTTCCCAGAGAAGAGAACGTGTTCCTTGAAAGCGTCAATTTGTCGTTCCCAAAGAACACGTTCTTTGTGTGTTGTTCTCATCCGGGAATGATTCATTTCTTTCGATTTCTTTGTCAAATGCATTTTTGTTCCGTGAGAACATCAGGAACAGGAGAAACTCTCTCGCAGAACGCTGCCAAACAAGGCCCTACTTGACCAATTGTATTTTAGCCATTTCCATCATTAATAATAATAATTTTCATTTTTATACATATTTTTATTTAATATGATGAATATATAATATTAAAGGTATACTCAATTTCTTATAAATTTTATAATATTTTTATTTTTATTATTTAATTTATTGCATCAGATGTTGATTTGTCCAATTAAGAGAAAAATGTGGTTTTAATCAATTTTTAAAACATTATTTTTTATCAATGTTTTATATTGTAGTCATATCAATTGACTAGATTAGTTGACTTATCACCTAATTAAAATTTTCGGTCCATTTACTACTAAGTTGCTTGTCTATAAAAAAGCATTAACTTAGTTAAGAGAATTATGACCTAGCTAATTGAAACATTGAATCTCTTGACCTAGTAGGGAGTTCACAGGTTACACCTTAATTATTTTTTTTCTTAATTTTGTATTCTATTTCTATCAATAATAAAAATATTTCTTATTTATTACATTTTTAATATGATAATATATAATATTAGAGATACAACCATATTT